TCTCTCTCCCCTCATCCTTTCAGGAATTGCATTTCGTTCCCGAAGACACGATTAGATCGCCGCAACAGATTTTGCTTCACAATGAGCGAAAAAGATGCGCTTCAATTACAATACATTTCATGTTGGAGGTTTTTTTTGTTCCTAGGGGTCGAGATTGCACAAAGGGCGAGCCCTAATTAAAGTACAACCCTTCAGGAGACTCGCGCCGCTGCGGACGGGAAAAGGGAATCCTTTTATAGTCCGCAAATTGCATATTCAAATTGCTCCTTTACACGTGAAAAGAAGCAGCCCTTCTCTCTTTCACTCACACTCCTCGTTTATTTTACAAAGAAACGAAAGAAAAAATAAGTACAAAATCGAAGGAGCTCCAGTCGCAATTACTTCCACCCTCAATATTTCGATATTGATGCGAGCTTCAATATTCCCTCTCTTTCCATTCATTTTTTTATTATTATTATTTTGGGTTCGTGAATTTCAAGTAAAAAAAGAGGTGGCCGGGAAAGTTTTCTATGCGGGAAATCAAGTTTCTTTAATGGAACTGCGACGAGCACAATGCGAAGCGATTTTCATAGGAAAATATTTAGCAGTCGCCGAAGCCTGAAAGCTTTCAAACTATTGGAAGTGAAATAGATTGAGTGAATTTAAACGCAAAAGTTTGTTGCCGAAGAAAAAAAAACAGTAAACTTTATATCTCGGTTATTAATTACGTAACGATTTTTATATCACAAGAATACTTTTGCTGATTTAATGTTTTGAATATTCAATTTCAATTCGTATTTCATCATCAAATATTGCATCAACGAATTGCAAATATACAATATTTGCTTTCAATTATAACTCTTTTTCAATTCACATAAACACACTTTTTATTATTTGAAATAATTAATTGAACCTGAACACTGGCGCATCTTTATTTTACTGCTAGCATTTTTGTAATTTAGTTTTTAGATATAGGTTTAATTAGATCACGTAACAAATTGCTTGCACATTATATGGATGAGATAAAGAGTCGTGCAAAAGCAATTAAAACTTTCTTGTTTAACTGATAATTAAATACTTTCGGTCCAATTATTTCTCAATCGCGGAACGGGTCGAGAGTTTAATGTGAGAAGTTTGATGTTGTTTTACTTGTTTGTGTCCGCCCAAATCGAACACGAAAAGGCGAAGAAAGAAAAGAAGAAAAAACGTAAATAGGTTTCCTGTAACAAATTAAGGAAGAGTGTCTTTCTCTTCATATGAGAGCCGGAAATGGAAAGAAAGTAAGGAATCTATCGGATGCCATAGTAATTGGGATGATTTAAATGGTGCGCACAAAGGGATTCGTACGATAATAACCGACTGTCGGTGGTATAATTGGATCTGCGAATTTCCATTTCTGCCACTAGCACAGCTGCCACTGCAAATACTATTAATTAATTAATTAATTAAGTAGATAATTAATTAACTAATTAATTAAGCCGCAGAATAGATTCGCGCGCGCGAAACTGAGAGCAGGAGGGAGTAATTAATTCCGGAATGTCGGTTATTAATTAATCCTTTGTCTCGGTGTCGATTAATTTCTGTGTGTATAAGTTTTTCAGGAGACGCGGTGCGTTTCGCATGGGAATTAGCTTCCTTGTCGGGCGTACAAAATTTCAATTAAATATTTAATTGAATTTAATAGTTAGGGAGGGAGGGAAACGAAAACTTTACGATGACTAAGAAGAAGTATAATCCTCTCTCTCACTCTCTCTTTTCTGTGGATCGGAGATGCTCGAGCTACCCACAAATTGACCATCAGATTTAATTAGAATCTGACTTCGTGCAACAGACGCCAGAAAACGCCGGAACCAAAGCCAATCTGGCAGTTCGGATCCGGCCGCAAAACCCATTTATCCAATTTGGCAGAGCGAGATCGGCCGCGTAATTACCATCAGCAGCAGCATAATCCGGGCGATCATCGAAAGATTTATGGAAATACTAATTCGATCACATTAACAACATCTGATGAATTCATCAATTTGCTACATTCCCCAAACATTCAGCTTTCATACGCATCTTTTGGATTCATTCTATGTATTATACTTTTCGAGAAAATCAATGAAATGTGAAAACACTGCTTTTTCAAGCATTTTTTCAACTTTGAATGCAAATTACAGCCGAACGGATAAAACCACAGTAATACATGAATACTTGTTACATTCCCCAAACATTAAGCTTTCATATGCGTGTTTTCGATTCATTCTATGTATTATAGTTTTCGAGAAAATCAATGAAATGTGAAAACACTGCTTTTTCAAGCATTTTATCAACTTTGAATGCGAATTACAGCCGAACGGATAAAACCACAATAATATATGAATAATTGCTACATTCCCCAAACATTCAGCTTTCATATGCATCTTTTCGATTCATTCTATATATTATAG